GGGGAGGGGAATCAGCTGGTGACTGATGTCTTTCAGGACAGCTGCTTCTTCTCCCCATGGCCTGGGGCTGTCGTTGGGGGAACCCCAGTTTCTGAGTTAGGGCAGTGAGTATTGCACACATATAGAAGCACTGGGGTGCTTCCACCCTCAGCCTGGGACACCCCCACCACCCATGAGCCCTCCTCCAACCTCTGAAGTGTGAGGCAGGTGTGGACCAAGCCTCCCACTGGAAGAAGCCGAAATGAACCAAAAGTCCTCATGGTGGGATGACTGTGCGGGCTCCCACACCCCGTGTCTGTTCAACCACTTGACTCTCTCCCCATTCACTGTCAGGTCTCCAAGTTCAGGCATCTGTGTAATACGGCCTCTGGGCACCAGGCCAAACACTCAGAAGTTGTGCAAGCAATTGAGAGTAGGTAAATATTGATGCAGCTGTATTTCCCGGGAAGGTCATCCAACAAGTGGCGTCAAACCATCAAGATGTGAAACCATCATCAGCTTCATTGCCATCCTCACCTATGCCTCCTCTCCCTCCCCCTCCTCCCTCTTTCTTTTTATCATCATCATGATCAAGAACTGTAAAAGGTCTGGGACTTTATCCTATTTGCAAGCTAGTAAGGTAGCCGGCCACTGGTTCATGGATGCTGGCAGAAGACATACGAATCCTGGGTGAGGAGAACACAAGCTCAGGCTTGCAGGGCATCTAGTCGGCTAGCCAGGGTGACCAGGCAGCCTGATGGAGGACCTGCCTGGTTCCAGCGAACCAGACACCGTCCTCTCGAGGTGTGCATCTTGAAGGTCACTTTGAAGGAGGGCTCCTCACATCAGCTGGGATCACATCGTCCAGGAGGGGAGGTGGGGGAATGCGGTGTGGTGAGTGGCTGCCATGCAAAGTTGTGACGAGGTCCCCCGCACAGGGAGCCATCTCTGTCGGCAGGATGAGGGGTACTGGTGAGAAAGAGAAGTGGGGAGATGGAATGGAAGCAGGCACATCAGGGAGAACACAGCGGAGGACTGTTGATAGGAAAACGGGGAGGTCTGACCTCCACGTTGAGGGGGGAATGACTCAAACTACTTTTAAGGACTCGAAGGGAGGGGGGAGTACCCCTGGTAATAAGCACCAAATGAGCTACATTGGCCCAAGTTCCTGGGCACATCCTGGGGATGCCATAGAACAGGAAGCATTGAATCTGATTCAGAACCTCCGCTAGGTGAACTGGATTCTACCTCAAACACACTTGTAACCTGAGAACTTCAGACTGAGAACTCATGGTGTGTGAAGAAGCAGAAGGCAGCTATACCAAGAGTACTGAACTGTCGGTAGGCAGACAATCATTGACTTACTGTATCAATGCCCATGTGCTGTATTAAATTGTATATTACTCCAGCAAGCCTGTGACTGACATTCTCTGTGAATATTATTTAAATTTTCCCTGATAACCAACTCCCCTTGCTTGTTTAAATGCCATCCAGCCATGAAAGGATTTATTCTGTATAAGGGAATAATTCAAGTATTGCGATGTGGACTTAGCCTACATTTGCCCAATATCCCTCTCTCAACAGTGCTTTAAAAAATTAGTACCAACATCGCTGAAGACAAAATGGGTGCATAAGCAAATGTGGTGAAGAAAGCTGATGGTGTCCAGTTATCAAAAGATATAGCATCTGGGTCTTAAAGGCTTGAAGATAAACAAGCGGCCATCTAGCTGAGAAGCAACAAAGCCCACATGGAAGAAGCACACCAGCCTGTGTGATCACGAG